TTTAGGTATTTCTAACTATTAACATTATGTTGAATTAGAAAGAGAGTTGTCAATCAACAACAAATAAGTTATTTGCAATGTAGAAGAAGTTAAAAATCGAAGTTTTACTAGGATTTTCGGTGATAGTTGTAGAATATTCAAGATGGTTTTATTAGGAAATATGAAGGAAGTTTAGAAATAAGAAACGTTATGTGTGAATTAAATTCACTAGATTGTTTGTATAAAGAACAAAATCGTGACAGAATAACATGAATCCAATCATTTCGTGGGTTCGTAGCTGCTTAAAACCTGAATACAATAGTACTACTCATTAAAAACGAAACAAGTACACAAACTTTATATTGGAAATTGCTTAAATAAAATTGTTTAACATGCAATACAATAATTGTGGAAGAACTAAGATTTAATCAAACGTTTGTCTATTTGCAGTTTCAATGTATAATATTCGAGAAGAGCATGAGAACAGAATTTTTTCTAGAAACTCAAGATTTATGCTATAGCTTATGTAGTATTTATAAAGTATAAATTAGCTAAGTCTCAGAAGTAAGACAGAGAATATTAGGAATTGTAATTAAGGTCACGGGAAAGAATCCTACGTAAAATTCTCATAAAAATGATGACAGCAAAGGAAAACAATGATGACTGTTTCTTTTTGGACGCATAAATTCAGTTTAAATCGTTTTATTGCTAAAACACGAAGTTTAGGGAAGAGATCTCTTTCCAACGAATTTATCTTCAAGCTATACCATCCTATATATACATATAATTTCAACCCTTTCTGAAGTTTGATTACAGCACTGTCATTTTTCTTCCATTTTTAAGTGACTGATTTCAATTCATATCTTTATTACCATTAATTTAATATTCGTTGCTTCATTATACAATCATTTAATGTTTATTAACTCAATGAATTATAGTCAGTATTTCAATGTTCTGGAACTTTCCCTCTCAAACTTTATTTATCTGAAACAAGATATTTTATTCGTTTAAAGATCCACATCATACTAAAAGACTAATTTTCTATTACCTTATTAACTTTATCGGAATATTCGCTACATCATGATACACATATTCATCTCTAATCACCCTTGTATGTATAAGTATGTCAGTATCTGTAATAACGTTGATTTTAAATATTATAGGTTGTAAGCAGCTGATGAGAACCTGACGAAATAAAATGAATCCATATTATCTTCGTTCTTGTTCGCTTTAAGTATATGTATATGAAATTTTTTATGTTGAAGTATTAGTTTCGTGAGGATGTATGAACAAGAAATGACCGTGATAATACAGTCGAAAGGTTATAACACTAGGTTACGCAATATGAATAATAACAATGGACTTAATAAGCTAGTAAAGAACTGTAATGTGAATGAGGTAAAATGTTTTGTCACAATAATTAGAGGTAATAGATGTGCAAAAATAAATAAATTGATTTCATGAGCAATTATGAATAAAATCATGAGAATCGGAGACAAGTAAGGGGAGAAATGCAATAATAATTATTATGTTTTTTATTGTCAAAAAGGCAATTATATGTCGATTAAAGCGTAATATTGCTCGCATCTGCGGGGATCACCGGGTAAGTAATAGTGAAGCTAGACGCAGGGTATTAGGGAGTGATGGTAAATCAGTTGACGAGGTTGTGAATCTTCATCGACTGAGATGGTTGGGTTATGTATACATGAACACCGATTACCACAACGCGCATGCTGACTAGTGTAGGTGCGGCCAAACCAAAGCATGGCATCAGTGCTTGAAGTCACTAACTTCTAGTCTTAGTCATGTCTGTAGATGCAGACCACTTGGTTGGGGTCCGTGTGACTATCGTAACCAATGGTTGGAGACTCTTGTTGACATGGCTGAGAATGGATCACAATAGTGTAAGTGTATACACTCTTTGTCCTCTCAAACTGTGAGATTAAAATTGTTTTATATCTTTCTTTCTTCCTGCACTGTATCCTTGTATGCAATCTTTCTTTTATATATTACCACCATTGAATTTACTACTTCTATGAATCCAGTGTTCATCTTGATGTGCTAATGAGGTATGGCAACGTGGACCGATGCACATATGTGCCTGACCTTAGGTTGTAGCTGACTGACTGTAGAGGCAAGCAAGTACATTGAACTACTAAAGATTGTTTTAGGTTTTACTATTTGCCAAATAAATGTGAGTAATGAAGTACTTAGAGTCGACTAGAGCAGCTTTACTACTCTAGAATATATTACAAATATGTTCAAAATTCCTAATCATTGGTAGGCTATGAAGGACTTTAGGATTTTACCTTATGAAAGACTAAATATTACTCAATATGATTCAAGGCTTTCTCCGTAGATCATTTAAAAGCTAGTAAAGATTTTAAACCGAAAGGAGATATTCTTGATAGTATGCACATCACGAACGGACCGCTTTTTAAGCTAAAAGTTGTGTAAATAATTTTCCAACACACTATTAAGTGTAATTTGATCTTGCCTACGCCGCGATACTGTATCTGGTGAAACCAGTAACCTACACTGAATTCATCTTCTCCCGACCCTCCAATTAAAACATCAGCTGATTATACTGTTTTAGACTTGAATCTGTTCAGATACTAGTAATACTATCTAACTACCAACGAAATTTGGGGTTTCGAACCTACAATCTAGTGCTTGAGTTGAGCATTATTAACCACCATTGTGATATTCAATTATCTAAAGTAGCTCACTTCTTTTAGCACTCTTACTCCAATAATAAGTGATTTTTGCCTCTCTGTAACAAAAGAGCACATTGTTCTCACCACATTATTGTTGGCAAATATCCGTTAAGTTGTCGCTGACTACGCGTTAGTATGGTAAAGCAGTCTTTGAAGTTTTTTTAACAATACACAGGACTTCTCCATTGCATGAGTTTAGGGTTCTTTTGGTACAGTTTTGTTTTGTATGTCAGTTGTTTACCTTTCAGTCAGTCAGTCAGTAACAACGTAGAACTTCGTACGTACGTACATCAGTTCGAGTTGCCACACCACATTAGCACAGAGATGCACTTGTCGATTCAAATCCCGTAGTGGTAGAGGTAATAAGAGTATAAGCAGTAATCGGGAAGATTAGGGTTCGGAGATGTTATTTAAAGAGTATAATCCAGTGAAATAAATTTGGAAAGAGGAAAAAAGGGACATGAAGAATTCAGAAGATTAGAATTTGGGAGAACACAGAGAGTGGATGCACCTGCGCCATTGCAAACGATTTTGAGCCGTGTCATTCAGGGTCTTTAACCATCGGTTGCTATCATCTCGCGGTCCCCAACCACGTAGTCTGCACTTACCAACATGACTCAGTTCACTTGTCAGTGACTTCATGGACTTGTGCCATGTTTTGGTTTGGCCGCCCCTAGCTTTCTTCCAACCTACTCCTATACCACTGAACATAGCACGTCGAGGCAGTCGGTCGTTGGTCATACGTAACACGTGTCCCAGCCACCTCAACTGATGGAGTTTCACTACTTCATCAATTGATTTGCCATCCTTACCTAGTACCCGATCCCTAACAACTGTGTTACTTACTCGATGGTCCCACGATATACGAGCAATGTTTCGAAGACACCTATGATCGAATACTAGTAACCTACGAATATTCTCTACTCTTACCGGCCATGTTTCACTGCCATAAAGAAGGACGGAACGAACTGCTGCGCAGTAAACCCGTCCTTTGGTTGATAGACGGATATCTCGCCTACGCCATAAATGACACAAGTTGGCAAAAGCTAATCGAGCCTTCTGTATCCGTGCTGAGGTTTCGTCACACACCAGACCACAAGGGCTGATGAGACTTCCAAGATAAGTGAAGCGGTCGACACACTCAACTACTTCACTCCCTATCACTAGTTCGGGTGTCGATGTAACCCAATCCTGAAGCAACATTTTGCATTTCGAGGGAGAGAATCGCATCCCGAACATGCTTGCATTGTTGCTTAGAGTGGTCAGAAGACTCTGCATTTTGTCAGCGTCTTCACCAAATAAAACTATGTCATCTGCATATTCTAAGTCAACAAGTGAAACTCCCGGTACAAGTTCAACCCCTGGAAATTTAGATGAGGAGAGTGTTATCTCTAAAAGTACGTCGACGACAAAGTTGAACAAGAATGGGGAGAGTGGACAGCCCTGACGAACACCACTTGAGGTAATCAATTCTGATGACAGTTTGCCATAAGCTCTCACTCTACCAGTTGTGTTCGAGTAGAGAGCCTTTATAAGGTTAATGTACTTCTTTGGTACTCCTTTCAGTGACAAACACTGCCATAGAACCTCACGATCAACAGAGTCGAGAAATACTACCAATGTGGGGCGTCTGAATGTGTGTCTGTGTTCTAGAACCTGACATAGTGTGAATATCTGATCTATACAACCACGTCCAGGTCGAAAACCGGCCTGGTTTTCTCTAATCTGCTCTTCACGAGCTTTGATTAGGCGTCGAAGTATTATTGAAGCTAATATTTTAGACACTATATTAGTCAAACTGATTCCTCTGTGATTGTCACAGGAGGACTTTTGTCCTTTCTTATAGACTGTTTACCTTTAGGTTCAATATATATGGGGCGGTGGCTTAGTGATTAACAGATCCTGCTCACAACTAGTAGGTTTTGTATTCAACTCTACTTTAATTTATGTAGACGTATAATATTTATAACCTTCATACCTAAGGCATGACTAGACCGAGTACGAAATCTGTGCCTGACAAATGATTCTTTAAAAAGATATAGATAAAATGTCCCACAAGTTTTGTTTATCTGATGAATGAACATGTAAAACCAAAGTTAGACTACTAAGTTAGCAAGTCAAGTGCAACTAGTTTAACGGTAACAGGTTCATCATGATTCTGTGAACGAAGTAAATTGTGCGATTTACCAATGGCATGTGCTTTTTCCTGGTTCAAAATAACTGAATACAGTGAATATATAATTTACTCTATAAATTTAGAATAAATAACTGCAAGTGCTCAGTTTTCATTATAAAAATATAAAATCAGTATATTAAGAAGTCTTCTCGGCCTATGTAAGATACAGCAAAATCTGCGCCATTTGCAGTTGGTTCGGAAAAAGCTGCTTGTGTACGAGAGAGTGGTAAACCATATATTAAGTTTTGTAGCACAGCATCTAATAAACTTGTGGCTATTCCCTTCCGACGATATTTACGTTCTACCCATATTCGCCGAATGCCACAAATTGGTCCGTCAATGTTTACACAAGAGAGGCCGGGATTTGAGGAAATTAAATCACATTGATCGCCATTTCGGTCGACACTCTGAATACTCCAAGATAAGAGACTTTTCCGTCCACCAATCAGTCTGTTCAGTTTGTAACCCTTTTCTGATATCTTCTTTGCAGTTAGTTCCTCAACAATACAACAACCCACGACTAATTGTGTTCGATCCTTTACGTAGACGAAAACACGCCAGTCGGGATGTAAGGTATTAGACAACTTAACATGATGGGGGTTACTGTCTTCTGATGGTAGATCGTAACCAAGGTCAAGGCTTATCAGTGTTGATATTCGTTCGTAAAAGGATTTTCCAAGTCGAAGAGTAGTAAGTATTTCCGTCACTCGAGAACCATCGAAATTTTCCATGATGATATTTTCATGGCGTCCTCTTGGTAGCTAAAAGAAACCATACAAAAAAGTTAGATTGTATACTGCTAGTATCAACAATTAATTACTTTTTACACTAAGCTATCGCTTTCCCTTGATCACTGAACATCTGGAGAAACGAGTGTCATATATTTCTTGAAAATAAGATAAAGTAAAAGGTCAACGACCTTAGTATATTATCCATCAACAACATAGTTCGTTTTGAAAATTAGACATTGTTTTAGATCACCTTGGTCCAGTCTGTATGTTTCTGGACTTTTTCCTTTATAATAGTGTACGATATACTTAGATAAACAAGGAAAATATGAAAATGGTCAAGATTTCACTGATAAAAGGTGATTTATTCTACCTCAGACCTCCAATGAATAGTTTCTGTTGACGTAAGATTCCTAATCCAGATGTCTGGTACTCATCATACGATTTAAACCAACAGTAAGTGGTGCTACAGATGGCTCTCACGTCTCGATCTAATTATCATCGGGATTTTCAAATAGATTTCCCAGCCAGTACTGCATATTGAGATGGATTTTAGCTTAAATGAATTGTTTTAATGGTGGTGTAGTTTGTGAGTTTGGTGGTTTAATCTTGAAGTTTTTATTGTTTATCACTGTATAAGCACCAACTGGTGCTGATGATGTACTCGAATCTATATGGAAACTAATTTTTAGTATGTAACAGCTCTTGGACTTTAGCCAGTGAACTTAATATTTCAGAAACATACCAATTTACTCCTAGACTGTGGCTTGACGGGCGGATTTTCTGTCATTTACTTTAGACAGACAACAGACGTTTCATATAAAAGACCAGTTTTGATTTCTTACACTCGTAGGTAAGGAACCAAAGGTCATATTCTATTCATGTAACTCACTTTTGGATACGGTCTTATACTTAACGACTGAAGAACAGATAATATTTTTTCATTTCCTAATCAGAGGCTGAGTGAAGCTAGTGAAAGTTAAACAAAATATTTCGATATCAAACTGACTAAAAATCCTTTGTCGAGTTACAAGCGTCAGATTAGCTAGAAATGCACATCCGATATCTGACTGCTGAGTTAGTTATGTTTATTGACAGGCATTTTGCAACGTGACAAGTCGACGATTATGGAACTCTGGATAGTACAGAATGACGAGCACATATTCGATAGGCTTCATTGTAATCGCGCTTGCTTTTCTTGATAATTTGGATTACGTAAGCCGTCCCTCACTGATCCTTGGTTACCTGCTGGATGGTGGAAGTTATATTTATTTATTTAAACACAAAAACATTGGTACAAGGAGGCACCGAATACATATGCGCCACACAAATCGATTGATTTATGTGAGGGCTAAGATACTGCCCGGGCGCACAAACCGAAGCATGTGAATGGTGGATTGGCTAAAAATATAAACCGAGATGTTGGAAAAAGGGAAGCTTATTCCTGTGGAACATTAGGATAAATTATACTTGAACTAAACGAAGTGACTCTGTTTTCATAACAGATGAGATTAACATCCAGCTGGAATCTCGGACGCGTCAGTTTCCATGATAAGTAGGTTACTTGGGTCCAACAGCTGAGGCTCCTTTAGTTTTAAGAAAAGCCTTTATAGGCTTAGATCGACACTACTTATCACTCCCTAAGACGCCTTTGAAAAACTAGAAACGACCAAGAGTAATGAATAAAATTAGAGAACGAGAGGTAGAGAACAGTAAGGTGTTCAAAAATGAAAGTAAGGAGATGAATGAATGTATTTGATATGATGGAAAAAGGCCTTGGTTGGATTGTCCCCAATCACCTACGATATTTAGTTGTGCGATTTTCATGTCGATGGTATATAAACATGTTACTAATCGGACGAATTATGTTCTACTAGCCAGCCATCTTAATATTTATACAACTGGGGGCTCATGTCTATAGTTTTGTCTCATGGGCAGCTATCATTTAGCCATGTCATATTGTTGTATTTTATCTATCGATCAGAATTCTGTTCATTCGTTTTAACAATCCAAAATCCGTCCGCATCATGAAACTTCGCCCTCTTGACAGCATTGTGCCACATCAGTCGATTTCGGGTTATATTTTCTATTCAGAGAACTTCGTAATATCTGATGAGGTTCAGACCAACAGTCGACGATATCATGCACTGATTTCATGATTTGATTTGAATGCTACTAGTTTGTTTTACCTTAGTCCTATAAGATTCGAATAAATTGTGTAAAACCCATATTGCGGCATCCAACTAACTATCAGGCAACAAGCAAAAACTTTTATCTTCAAAGGTTTGAAAAGCTAGGTCGTGTTATCTTTTTATAAAAGATATGGCGTATAATCGACTGTACAGACCAGTGAGTCATTCTTGATTATTTAGTTACATATTATAGTGAACTCACGGAGAAAACGACACCATCTACTACACAGTAATTTATCTATGTCAATTATATGATATCTTACCCGGACGGTTGGAAATAATTTTATTTGGTGATACTCTTTATGAGCTTTGATATCTTCTTTATCACCAACTGTGTATACCATATGGCATTGATGGCACTTAGTGCTGCCAATCTCCTTCTGTCCGCAATCGAGAGTCAGTTGGATCTTCTTCACTTGACTGAAAAATCTCATTACACGATTAAATTATCGTACAAATGATTAAACACTGAAAAATGAAATAGACGATTTAATTCTGAGAAAGGGTAGTAAGCACGTTAAAGCTTAATGCTCACGTTGAAAAAAGCAAAAGAATATTTGTGATTTGGCACATGTGTACATCAGTTGCCACACTCCATTAGCACGCGGTGATACTTGGTGTGTTACTAACTGTAACCATAGTTTTTATGGGCACTATGACATTGTCTGGGTGCCAAAACAAGAGCTGGTAGTAAATAGAGAAAGCTTCTCGAATCTAAAAGCTAGTGGAGTTACGTCTGGATAACAATCTGCATGATATTCAGTGGTTTGTGTAGGTCCAAAATTCATTAACGTTTTCAGGATCTTGGGGCTTACTATCATCAATGATTAGTGTTCTTAGAATACTTCGATGAACCACAACCGTTCACTTTAATGGGAATCTTGTTAGAATATAAAGACAATGAAGATTATAGTGGTGGAGGCTGTGAATGTACACTTAGGATGAAGCATTTCAAACAGGGATTTGTGAATCGCATTGTACCAAGGAATCTGGAGTCACTCATGTGAAAACTATTTGCCATTGTTACGAAAAATGAAGCCGGTTTAGCACCTTTAACTCAGTTACTAAGCAGTACTAAATGGTAATGTCGCAGAGGGATAATTATATTTGACAGGATGAAAACGTTAATAATGATCCTGGAAAGACACGAATTTTTCAGAAATAGAGAGCTCAGTGGTTATTAAGTACTGGACGTGAGGGATGTACTAGAAGAACCCGTGTTAATAACACCATCCTTAATGCACTCGGTGTGACGCATCATGAGGAATAGGTATTCTGCTGTTTTATGTATAATTGACAAACTTTTACACTTGGCACTCCATACTCGAAGATCCTCTAGAAATTTGTCGTGGACCATTTAGATGGGTATATAACATCCTAATATTAGAATAGGTTAGATATCTTCATATGAAGATATCTTAATTTGTACCGTAATGAGAAACTCGAACAGCTCCCTGGAATTTCCCTAGGAGAAAATACCCTAATGAGATGCGCATAAATTCTCACCCAACAATCTTTACCTGTAACTGCCCAACTATAAGTAGCGACTCAACCAATCAATAATTTTTTAATCGAAGGACGTTGTTAATGCTACAGTACTATTACCACGTGTGATGTGTAGCGACATATCTTAGAAATGAGAAGGAAAATAAGTAGAATTGTGCGAAAATATTTACTAAGTTAGAGAGTAATTTTTTCAAAAGAGTATTTACTCAATTACTTCGGCACAGTAAACTGGCATAAAATTCATAAACACCGCATTCTTAAAATTTAGGGGTTTACGTTTTTCGACATTTAGTAATATAACAAAGCAAATGGTCTGAATTTTTAAACAAAGTGTTTTTTACTTGAAAATAGGTATAACTAAAGCATATAAATAAACTAAAATGATTCATGTGCGAAATTTGTTCTTGGTTCATAGTTCAAATGTTTCCAACCGGAATAGAAGAATTCTTCGCATAACGGGCTTCTGTATCTAGTAGCCTCATAGTGAGAACCCACTCATGTCAACGATGAAAGAGGAAAATTTAAAAAAATGGTAAATCATAGCAATATATTGTCCTTAGTCCTTAAGAACATGTCAGGTTTTCTTTTAAAGTAATCCTGGGAGGTCGCTTGTACTAACTCAGACGGCAGGAAGACGTACAATTCGTGTTTAGAAACGCTTCGCTAAACAGCCATTTTATTAAGCAGATGACAAGTTACTCGGTGTGATAACAAAGGCGTTGTGAACGCCAGATACGAGGTAAAAAATACTACCACAAACAGACGATTATGAATAATTATGATCCTATTGAACCATTGTTTTGATAGATGACCCAGACGTAATAAAAACAGTCTGTCTTACTAAGATCGACGGCTTTTCAGGCGTATAACAAAGTTCTAAATCGGAGGAAAAAATGCGTCTGCTATGCAATAACACTAAAGGGACTCTGGATGAGTGAATGAGAATACACGAATATGGAGCGAAATGAAATGTGATAATGAAACGCACTCGCTTAATGGGGGAGAAATTTTATGTTATGAAGTTAACGCTATAACTTTTGGGTCGAAAAGCCTAGCCCACCAATTTTGCACCTACTGTCTGACTGTCAATTGGTTGAACGTCGGTGATAGAAATAAAATACATATCACACCTGATTTTGTATATATTTGTCAATTTAATTCACTTTAGTGAATAATGGTATAAAGTAAGTGAAACACGACAAGGATTTTCAATACGTTCACTTCATATATCCGAGGACAGTTAAAAAGACAGGTTCACTTAAAACCGCTCGTCATTTCGTTCCAATGATCTTAAACAAAATAGCATGAGGCGGTCATTCCACATTTCAGTTATTATAAGTTTATTGGGTGTCCGTTAGGTTGCATGAATTTTCAGTGTTCTCATATTTAAGTAGTCTTTTTCTGCAATAAAACCACAAAATCATTGAGAAAAACAATTATTTAACTTTCTCTGTTTTGTAGTTTAAACGTTGGCTCGATTATAACCTCTTAACTTGATCTGGGATACCAATCACTCCACTGAACATCACCGCCTTTGCCTAAAGCCTTATAAGATTCAGAAGGCAGCGCAATAAATATTTTTAAACAGATATAGATACACGAACTTTTGTTAGATTGCTATTTTACGCAGAGTTTGGGACGAAATGTCAAATAACCGTTAAATTTTAAGATTACACCCTAAATGTCCTTAATAATTCCGGCAGTTATTAAAGTATTATTGCATGTATTATTCGCTTGTTTTGTGTTGTAATTACTCAGCACTGATTGTAGTGCTTCATGTTCAAGAAATATCTCAGCCAGTCGTTTCAACTTATAATACTAATCAGGTGTTTCGGAAGTTGTACTGAATTCCATAGTGTGCTAAACAGATTCTAAAAAGTAGGTAATAGTAATTCTATCCCTTCTCAGACTCCCCATTTACATTACATTCATGTCGAAAAACGTGAGGTTCAAATACATGTTTGTGATATTTCAGTGCACATTTGGTCGTAAGCGTAAACCAAAAGGTCAAGCAGTGAATCGAAGGCCGTGAGACCTTTAAATAACATGTGATGTTTATGCTTTACGTTTTTGAATTGCCAGTCAGAGTATCATGTAACTTTGGACAGTGAAGAATATGTTATAAAATCATTTGACATGCTTCACAATCATCCTTGTAGTAGCCCATTGATGGTTTGTAACTCATGCAATCGTCAGTGGATGAAGTAGTAGAAGGTATTAGGGATCAACCAGCTAAGACGGTCACTGCTGTTGATGTGAAGACTAAGATAGCTCAGATCTTCACTGGTGAATGTATATAAGTACAATTCAGATTGTTCCATAATAACAAAGTAATTTCATTCACCAGGCAAATTAAACAGTATGTACGAATCCAACGAATCCGAATAGTGCGCAAACAACAGATTCTTTGGAAATATGGTGAGCGCCTCGCAGTGCTAGTGGAGAGAAAAGTCAACAATTTTTACCTAAGAATTACCAATAGGCTAGACTCTAGCTTCCTTAATCTTTATCATTGCATCGTCTTTATAATTAAAAACATTGTTCGGACTATGCTAAAGTGTGGAGACGTGATAGGAACTGTCTACTATGAGAAGTTCTTTATGACTGTTCTTTAGCTTAACTATAAATACTACTTGTAAAATTTTTTTTCTGCGTCAGATGTTATTCTTGCTATACCATTGGTAACAATGCATCAATAAACTCTTGCCCAATTTCCATTTTCGTCTTCGTAGTTTCGTGGGGAGGTACATCGATAATCTTAACGGGTAACTGTTTGTCGACATTAGAAACAACTAGATTTGCCTTATAATTACCCGTTTGGATATGAAAACTTGTAGCACTGCATCAGTTTGGAAGTTACGCCAAGACATTGCTTTGTATATATATATATATATATATATATTTCTCCACTATGATAGCATATTAGAATGAATACCAGGAGGATTTATGGTTCAAACGAATACGAACTTTCGCCAAACACTCACGAGATCTGAAACGCTACGAATGTAAATACCGCGTACAGTTGTTATAGATAAATTCGAATATTTCATTAGATGAATAAACGCGACAGTAGGCAAGACGGAATACAGTTATCCCCAACTTGTAAATTGCTTGTCCAAGTTACTTTCCATATCCAGAAATTCGTTAGATTGTTGGCCGGTATATACTAAATTATTAGGACGGTTTGAGCCTTTCAGTCAGTTGGCAAAATCCATAAGCTGGATATCAGGAAACGTATCAGTAGGTTTCCAACTTAGTGCATTTTCGAAAAACAACGAAACAAAGAGTTTAATTCCGTTATGAGTATCACTTTCGATAAGTAAATGGGATAAAAGCTCAGATAATGTAGTTATAAGTGTCTTACTTGTTGTAAACAAAGTTCTTTATTTTCTAACCATCCTAGAATTTCATCTAGGTACTCAGCATTTGCAAAGGAATAACAGGCTTTAAATAAAAGGAATCAGAAACTTCAAATAGTACTATGAAATTTGAGAAAAATTTGATTCGAAACCTTATAACACCATCAGCAATTCACAGTTAACATACAATAGCTGCATCATTGGAAAGCAATATTTAGATATTACTCGACAATATGCGTGTGGTCTTTGTCTGTAATTTGGTCAGTGGTCGCGGATTCTGTCTACAGAAATCCGCTAGCGTTCTCTATAACAGATACATCACAAATTGGTGTTCACTAAAAACGTAGTTGATTTATCATGCCTGAAACAAACATACATCGTTATACTTATGAAGAATACTTCACGAATTATTATAATACTCATAGTGATGTTATATACAGTTCCTGTATATGCTCAGAAAGCGGGAAGAAAAGGTTATC